AAAAAAAATCGTATTCATCATCAGGTTTCATAGAGCCAAACATTTCAAGTGCTACTCAACTGGCTTTAGATAAGCCAGTACTTTATTAGTATATAAGTGCTTTGTTAGTAATTCCATCGCTCGAAGTGGAGCCGAAAGAGATGAGTTTTCAGTCTGCGCCGGAAGATGTGCAAGCTATCTGCTGTCCTGATTTCAATGGGGAGCTCATTCCACCATTTTGGAGCCAGGATAGCAAACCCACGAGTTTTTGCTGATGGGAACTTGGAACCTCGCAGTGCGGGTGCAGCGAGCTGTTTGGCCGATGCAGAGCGGAGTTTACGTGCTGGGGTGTACTGTTTAACCATGTCCTGGATGTAGGAAGGGCCAGATCCATTCGCAGCATGGTACGCAAGTACCAGTGTCTTGAAGTGGATTCTAGCAGTTACCGGAAGCCAGTGAAGGGAGCGGAGGAGCGGCGTGGTGTGGGAGAATTTTGGAAGGTTGAAGACCAGACGAGCAGCTGCCTATGCACAAGATGCTACAACCCACTGCCTGTGTTTTAACATGTTCTTTTGTTTTGTTTTATTTGTTTTGTTTTAATGTTCTGTATTTTAAATTGTTTTATTTAAGTATCCCCGTAATGTTTGTTGCATGTTTTAAATGTATTGTACTTGTTTAAAATGAAATGTGTTTTAGGTTGACTTTTAAAATCTGCCCAGGGATTACAGATGAAAAATAGCCTCTTGGCTAACTCTGGCACATTTACAGAAATGTTCATTAATGTGCACTGTCCCTGTTAAATAAATGAATAAATAAATTCTGTTTTCTTCAAGTTTGTATTTTGTTGGTCGAACGCACTTATTGTAAGTCGCTTTGGATAAAAGTGTCAGCTAAATGCAATGTAATGTAATGTAGTTTCCTCTGTAGACTTTAAGAAGTCTTCTTTGTGTTTTTAGGACAGTGAATCATCCATGAGTGAAGACACCGGCCTGGGAAGTGAGGAGAGCAACTCGTGTGAGTCTTTAATTCCCGTTCGGCCTTTACAATTTTAGTTTTGGAGGATTTTAATTTGTGAAACCACCAGTTTGACGATTGAATCGATTACTCACAGCATGATCTCTCTCTTTAACCTCGTCTCCACGGGCAGACCTTGCGGCGCTGCTCTCCCTGGCGCAGCAACACATCCCTGGGGCGAGGCTGGTGGAGGAGTCTGGGCGCGAGGCGGTGCTCAACCTGCCGCAGGCGGCTGCCAAGGACAGCAGCCTGGCCGTCTTCCTGGCCGAACTGGACAAGAGGCTGAGCGAGCTGGGCGTCAGCAGCTACGGCCTGTCGGACAGCACTCTTGAGGAGGTGAGAATTTTACATCGGTTTTTAATCGATACATACTGTAGGCTACATATGCTATTTGATCCACTTGCTTTTCACACACTGTTCAATTCAAAAGAAAATGAAATGGATGTAAATATGAATAATTATATGAAAATATAATATGAAAAACAATATAAACGTAATCATAGTTATTTAAGATGCCTCATACTTAAGAGTTATTTTGCCCTCACTATGCGTGTAATGTACTAAATGTCCAATGCAGCCAGCTGAACACTTCCAATCAAGAACCAATACATGTTGAACACAGCAATTGGCTTTTAAGATTTTTAATGAAAACAGAGACAAAAAAGGGACAGTTCAGACCAATAGGGACAAAACTGCTTTGAGACTCTGCTTAACAACTCAGCTTGTTAAGCGGCTGGCTTAAGAGCGTGCGTAGTTTGCGTGCGTGCGCAACATGTCATCAGCGCCTCACATTTTAACTCTTGAACTCATCCAAGATTCCCTTTGCCATTGTGCGTATGACAACAAATAGCAAAGCACTTGTCGTCCCACCTGTGTGATCTGCAGGAGCTCAGCCAGGTCTAATCAGCAGTTTGGATATTTGTGGAGCAGCCATGGTCTTAGTGGGTTTAACATTAGCATCAGATTAGCACTGATAGCTAAGTCTGATGACTTTACTCAGTCTGAATAACCGCTCGGTCTCTTCTTACCGCTGCAAAGCTTTTTTTACTGCCACCTGCTGTCAGCTGTCAGGGCCTGAAAATCATTTTAAGGGCTGTTACCTAACCCTAACCCAGACCTGGCAATGTAACTCTCACTAATCTCAACTAAAGGAATAATCTTGTTGTGTTTTATTATGCCCATTCTTCTCATTTCAAGATCTTTTTACGAGTGGCTGAGGAAACAGGGGTCGATGCTGACCCAGAGCTGCAGGCTGAGTCTCCCAGCAGGCAGCAGCCGTCAGCCGGGCAACGGGTGGAGAGGCAAGATGCTGAAGAGCCAGAAACAGGTCTGCACAAACACTTCCAGGCACAGATTTTTGTACATACCACACATTGTTTCCATGTACAGTGAGTCTGCTGTTTCGTCTCCAACTTTCATTGTTTGTTTCCATAATTGCTGCCAGGAAGGAAAAGGCTTCGTAAGCAAGGTACTTTCTGATCATCCTGTACTAAAAAATACCATCAGATGGAGAAAGAGATACTTCTTAGACACACACTCATAACCTTTAACTGTGAAAGTATAGAAATAAGAGGCTTGCTTGTTTTCAATAGCTTTACATTTAAATTCCACATTCTTTGTCATGTCATGTTTCAAATCAAGACATTTTCTATCGCTGTGACCCAACCCAACCCCCCGACCCAAGTGTCTTAATCTTATCACAGTTGGACAGCACTGACTGGATTCTACCTGTGTTTTCTCCTGCTTGCAGAACCTCAAGAGACGGACCTGCTGAGTGGAGATGGCCGAGGGGGGGTCCCGCTGACGGGCTGGTGGCTGACCTGGCAGCAGCTCAGGGCTCTCTTTATTAAACGCTGGCTTTACGCTCGAAGAAGCCGCAGGGGCTTCTTTGCTCAGGTGATGACAAATATCAGCAGCAGCTGTTAGAGAGCGAGATTCAAAGGCCATCCATCATCACAGAGTTTATTGTTTTCATAATGAGAACAAGTGCTCTCTTTTCTCCGGCAGTCAGTTGACTAATCAGTTAGTTTTGGCTTTGTTGTTGCTAATCCTTTCTCCATATGTTTGTGTTGAAGTGACTGAAGGGGAAAAAGCGTTTTTGATTACTCCAGTGTTGAGCTGGAATGTAATGTCCTCCGTCAGTGTAGGTCTACTTCAAGTGTTTGATCATGCTCAGGTTCAGACTGTTATAATATGTTTATGACAACAGTAAGCAAATAAGCCTACAGAAAAATACATTTTTTTATTGAAATACATTTTTTAATCTGGTATGTTAGTTCTTGAGTTAACATAATTCTCGCTTGTCTGGTTCTGAAATCGGTTGCTGCTCTGACTCAACACTGGACGATCAGAAATTGTTTAGCCCATTACTCACTTAAACACAGGAATGTGGGAAAACAGGATTTAGGTTGAAATATACCAAAGTTACCCTTTCACAACAAAACGAAAGTCAGTTTCTCTGTGCTACTCTATTTCCATGGCTGTTATTCATTCTCTCTGTGTAAGTTGTTCAGCTGATGGTTGTTTGCGCTTCAGATTGTGCTGCCGGCTGTGTTCGTGCTGATCGCCCTGCTCTTCAGCCTCATCGTTCCTCCCTTTGGGAAGTATCCCTCCCTGCAGTTGCAGCCCTGGATGTACGGGGAACAGTTCACCTTCTTCAGGTAGGCCTCCACCCAAACATTCACTCTGACCTTAATCAATACACAACAGATTTATAATATGTTTCCTCTGCTGTAAATTGGTTGGGTCTACCGTGTGGAATAACTCCTCCCCTCTGGTTAAATATTTACAGCAATGATGAACCTGGGAACCCGGCCATGAAGAAACTACTGGAAGCTTTGCTGGACCAGCCAGGTTTTGGTACCAAATGCATGGAGAGAGAGGACAACAGCACGTAAGAGACAATCCCTCTGAATACAGTGTACAATGTGTGTTAGCAGAATCAAAAGGAACAGTGATGAAGTTAGCGGGACACATGGTTCTGAAAATCAGGACTTAGAAGATAGTGAGTAAGAACACACTGAAGCAAAAGTAGTGGTAGTTGTATTTACTTAAACCACACATCTTTACTTCCTGTTTTCCGTGCAGGATTCCTGTGTGTGAAGACGAGCGGGGGGGCCTGTTCATGCGGCCTCAGTTGTCTTATACTTCCTGGCAGATGTTCAGCAGAGGCAACTGGAGCAGACACAAACCGTCGCCTGACTGTCAGTGTAGCACAGAGGACGTCCGGCGGATGCTCCCCGACTGCCCGCAGGGGGCCGGGGGTCTGCCGCCTCCACAGGTCAGTGGCTGTCAGACTGACCTATCAGAATGCAGTGTTTAATTATCTGACCTAAACACCTGGGATTGCAGATTCAAAACACCACCAATGCACATGCACATATTAACATTAAATAACCTTGATCTCCGGTCATTTCAAATGGAGCCAAAAGCACATACCGGGACAAAATGTTATATTACAGTTAATATGGAAATAAAAATACTGTCTATGGAAATGAATCTTAATGTGTCTGTATTTGGCTCCTGAGATCTTTTTGATTTGTTTTCTTTTAGAGAAAGAGGCTGACTGGAGACACCCTCCTAAATCTGACAAGTTATAACATCTCTGATTACCTGGTTAAAACCTACTCTCAGATCCTCAAGAAAAGGTACTTAATACACATTTTAAAAATGCATTACAGTTAAAAATATTCTTTACAAATTAACGTTTTACTTCTGTGTCATTTGCAGCATAAAAACCAAGAAGTGGGTAAATGAATTCAGGTAAGCTCCTGATTTTAAAGCATCATTTTGGAAGCAAAATATCTGCAGTAACACTATGCACGTGATGACATTTCAATAAGACTGCCAAGAAACAAACTTTTATACTGCTCTGTGTTGCAGATACGGGGGTTTCTCCCTGGGGGGCAGCTCCACTCAGACCTTATCTCAGGTGCATCATGTCCAAGACTCCATCACGGCCATCAGGACTCAATATCGAGTTCCACAGGTATAAGTAAGCTTCAGGGATGTTCCACTGATCCTGCTGTTGTCCTGAATACATCTGACGTTCTTTAATTCCTCACAGAACAGTTCACTGGATCATTTGCTAAACAGACTGCCAGATTTTCTAGGAGGACTGAACAGTCAAAACAATGTCAAGGTAAATGTGATTCTGTGTCTCTCTTTTTACTTTATGTTCAGCCTGTATTTACAGGAAGAATCTAACCTAAAACACTTTGACATTTTTCTCCTTTTCTTTTCTGTAATCAGGTGTGGTACAATAACAAGGGATGGCATTCAATGGTTTCATTTGTCAACGTGATGAACAACGGCCTGCTGAGAGCCAGTCTGGACCCCGGTCCAGAGAGGAGGAAATACGGCATCACTGCCTACAACCATCCGCTCAACCTCACCAAGGAACAACTCACAGAAATGGCTATGTGAGTTCAAAGCTGTGGAGTTTTGGGATGGATTTAGTTTACTGTGCTTGTTATATTACCTCAATTTGTATAAAGAAATAAATCCATCTTGGTCAGGGCCTTAAGGACAGATGGATTAGTGTCTAAAGGAAGATTTTGACAGTAAAAGGTTGCAACAAAAATGCAACCTTTAAACCAAAATGAGTGGAAACCAATAGCTGCGTGGAAGGTAAAATATTTTCACAACATGCATACAGTATTACTGTACAACAAAATGATGCTTCAATAATTGGTGCGCAGTAAGGGGAAGCTTACATTAAAAACAAATATTTTGGGTCAGAAACCAATCAACACATTTACCAAAAACCTCCTGAAAAATTGATTTCCTAATTGAACATCTGAAGTTAAACGGGATGTGTATTATTGATGGTTACACTGTCTATATATTGTGTATGTTAACGAGTGTTGCTCTGTACCTGACTTGTGTTTCTCCCTGCCTCCTCTGTCAGGATGACCACATCAGTGGACGTTCTAGTTTCCATCTGCGTGATCTTTGCCATGTCCTTTGTGCCGGCCAGCTTCATCCTTTTCCTGATTGAAGAGCGAGTCAGCAAAGCCAAACACCTTCAGTTTGTCAGCGGAGTCAAACCGATCCTCTACTGGCTGGCCAACTTCAGCTGGGACATGGTCAGTTCTGAAGAAGAGGAAACATTTTACTATCAGCCAGTTTTCCGGTGCTTGGATTTCACAAAAATATTAAAAAAAATCTCAAATTAAATGTAATATATACATCTAAATCTCAACCTTTACCAAGATAGGCAGAAGGTTCAAGCTAAATATGTTTTTAACCTCGCTCAAATTTTGTTCCAACTTAATGAAACATCCTGTTGCCCCACCAATGCAGCTTTTTGCATTTTCTTCAGTTAAGGGGATGCATTTTGGGGTTTTTACATCTTGACCCGGTGTACAAATGTACTTTTCTTCAATAATCTGCATTCGAATATTCTCAATAGAAAATGTCCTGGAATTCATATTTTTCAATGTTCAAATGTTTTGTTGTCCTCTTTCAGTTGAACTACACCGTCCCGGCCACCATGGTGGTGCTGATCTTCATCTGCTTCCAGCAGCAGTCGTACGTCTCTGAGACCAACCTGCCGGCTCTCATCCTGCTGCTCCTGCTCTACGGGTACGACCAGGCTCAGGCTCCCCTCACTGCTATCCTCACTGCTGCTCTTCTAATACCATGCACAATCAAGTGTCACAATAATATGATCTAATCGTCTCTTTCACCAAAGATCATTCTTACCACCATCTGTTTGCTCCAAACACAACTATCAAAGCAAACGCATTTATCGCCATGATCATACATTTTCTCATTAGACACAATCATTTATTTTATAGATGTAACCCACCTATTGTCCGGGTTTAATTAGTGTGTAACAAAAGTGAAGAATCTGCATTGATTAACCTAATTATCCGTTGTAGGTGGTCCATCACCCCTCTGATGTACCCAGCATCCTTTCTGTTCTCCGTGCCCAGCACAGCCTACGTGGTCCTGACCTCCATCAACCTCTTCATCGGAATCAACGGCAGCATCGCCACCTTCGTCCTGGAGCTGTTTGTTGATGAGGTATTAACAGAGACAAATATGTATTTATTAAATAATTAATTTCTTTCTTTCGGTACAAATATTCATAAGTCTGAGGTTTTTAATCATTAAGAAGGTATAAGGTAAAAACGCACACGGTACTGCTGCAAAGCCCCCCTCCTCTCACTTACTGCTGCCTGATGTCTTGTCTCTCATCATTTAAACATGGCAAATGCAGAGTTCTGGTTGACAAATAAAACAACAGGGGTGCTGTGTAGATTTGTATTTCATTTTGTTCGTCTTTTCTTTCTAGCATCTGAACGAGGTGAACAGGATCCTGAAGAAGGTGTTTCTTATCTTCCCTCATTTCTGCCTGGGACGAGGACTCATTGACATGGCCAAAAACCAGGCCATGTCCGACGCCTTCCAGAGACTGGGTACGTGAATATCCTTCTCAAATAGTTGTCTAAAACTCTAGACAGTATTTCAAAGCTGAATATGATTTTTCTGAGGAATCATAAAGGTCTGAGCTTTTGCTGCTTGATTGCTGTGGTGATTGTGTGCTGCACTTTGAATATATCAGATATAGCAACTTGTTTCTGTGTTATAGGACCCCTTTCTGAATTAGTTACCATTTGTAACAATGCTCTTTGGAGTTATTTCATGGATACTTTAACACTCAAACTGCCTATTAGACTGCAGCAAACACAAATCACGTAAGACATTTCAATATATGTGTTTGTGATTGTGTGTGGTTTTGCTCCTCCAGGCACAAAGCAGACTCTGGACCCTCTTCAGTGGGACTTTGTAGGGAAGAACCTGTTTGCCATGGCAGTTGAGGGTCTTATCTTCTTCATCTTCACCATACTGCTGCAATATAAGTTCTTCATTAATTTCAGGTACGTTTTTAACAACTATTTGAATATTATTAATAACATTCAGACAGAAGTTGAGGTTGGAATCAAGCTACAGCATCTGTACCAAAATGCCTTTGTCTGAATGTCTTTCATTTTTGTAAAACACCTTGAATTGCCTTGTGTTGAAAGGTGCTATATAAATAAACTTGCCTTGCCTTACCAAAGTGATTGTGAAGAAACACATTTCTAAAAAGTAGATTTGAAAAATAAATGTTCAGCAAACAAATGAGTGCTGTCTCTGTGGAACATCAGGAAGATAATGTTACACTGCGCCATAGTGACAAATGTTACAGTTTGATCTTGTATGTCTCCGTTCAGGCCGTGGTGGTCCGAGCCTGAGGTGCCTCCTCTTGGTCCAGAGGACGAAGACGTGGCCAGGGAGAGAGAGAGGGTGATAAGTGGCAAAGCCCAGTCAGACATCCTAACCATGTTAGACCTGAGCAAGGTAAACATCTGCATTCAGCCCACATTGATTTGTTTCCTGCTGCAGCGTTATGAATTTCTGCTTGATCATAAAACCAAAAACCTTTTGGTTTGCAGGTTTATAAAGCAGGCAAGATGCCGGCAGTCGATCGTCTCTGCCTCGGGATTCCTCGGGGAGAGGTGGGAGGAGAAAGAAGCCTCTGTATATTCCAGCAATGTTTGGACTAAATTACTGTTTACTAAATTACTAATACAACAAATCCTCAAAAGGATGTAGTCCCAGTTGCTGAATTTGTTTCTCCTTGTGTTTATGTCAGAATCTGAATTCTCTGTATTAGTGCATATAAATATATAAGATAAGAAGATAGTATTAAAATTAGATGAAAATAATAAATTACCATAAAATATTTGTGTCCTCCAGTGTTTTGGCCTGCTGGGGGTGAACGGCGCAGGAAAGACCTCCACTTTTCGCATGCTGACCGGAGACACAAGCATCACCAACGGAGAGGCTTTCCTGAATCAACACAGGTACAAACCCTCCGCTATTCAAAAGCTTTGTTCTACTAAGTGAGTTACATCAAATGAAATGTAAACTTTAGATTATAATCTTTCCTTACTATAAGAGGAAATTCATAATAAGAGAAAGGAAAAATGTACTTGGAATATTTTCTCTCTTGACATGTCAATAACAACTTTTAAACCATGATTCTATTTCATTAAGGGGCATTATTTGTCTCATATTTAGAATTATTCCTGAATGTTATGTGTCTAAGAGATATTGTAAAAGAGATATCTAAATGCTGCTTCTGTGATGAAATAAAGAATAAATTAAATAAAAAAAGATAAGTATTGTTCTAGCTGTTGACTCTGTCTCTGTGGTTCTCAGTGTGACAACAGAGATGGAGCGAGTGCACCAGCTGATGGGTTACTGTCCGCAGTTTGACGCCATCAGCGACCTGCTGACGGGTCGGGAACATCTGGAGCTGTACGCCCGCCTGCGGGGAGTTTCAGAGGAGTCTGTCGCCAAGGTAACATGTAGGAATAACTTACACCAAAAAACAAGACATTTGAGTTTTGTGATTTCTGAATTTGTCTGACGCAGTTAAATAATTAACATGACAGGTATATTAGGCTGCACTGTGATAGACTCTATAGTAATGTACCTGTTCTGCTGTCCTGCAGGTGGCGCAGTGGGGAGTGACGAAGCTGGGACTCACCCAGTACTCTGAGCGGGAGGCGGGAGGATACAGCGGAGGCAACAAGAGAAAACTCTCTACCGCCATCTCCCTCATCGGGGCTCCGCCTGTTATATTCCTGGTGAGAAACGATTCACCAAACAGCTGGAGAGCAACCGCCAATCTCTCCTCCAAGGATAAAAGTTAATACCACTAGATAACTTGGATGGACATGGGGAAAAAGCCCTATGATTTTACATTTTCTAAATTAAAAAAACACAAACTTCCGCTGCAAAATCATCATAGATTTTGCATTTAAAACTTCACAGCTGTCACCTCAAGATACAAATAAATGTACTGCTATTATACTCTTGTTACCTTGATTATGTGGTGAATAACTAACTTAATGATTGGTGCTACTCACTTATGAGCAGTGTTGGGCAAGTTACTTTTAAAAAGTAACTAGTAATAGTTATAGTTACTGCTCTCAAAAAAGTAACTAGTTACTTTATTAGTGACTAAATTATAAAAGTAACTAGTAACAAGTTACTTTACTTTAAAAATAATAACGATACATATACAAGTTGTTGTGTTGTTCTGTGGCACAGTAAGAGAAAAGACAATTCCCCATCATTGTAACAATTATCCTTATGAAATGTAGTGGAACAATAAAACACAAAAGATATGTTTAGACATTTTGACAGGCATCTTTATTGTAGCCTCAACAATCAAGTTCTAAGTAGTGCACTTGTAGTGCAATATGAAATAAAAACAACTACACTCTTTTGGCAGTGTACACATTAACAACAACTACATTATTTTGGCAGTGTAACAATTAAACAAGAACTACACTCTTTTGGCAGTAACAATTAAATAAATAATAAACTGTAAGACTGACACTGAAGACAAACAAACTATTTTCAGCCTCACAAAAACAAACTAACAGTAAAATAATTTACCTCACATCTGGCCATTTAGCATAAACAAAATCAATAATGGTGGATAAACTTAAGAAGAGGTGCTTTCAGCCTTTAAGTAATACCTTGAGATGCTTTTCAGTAAGGCTGGTGGTGGGTGTTGCCGTGTTTGTGTGTCTGTGTATTTTCCCCATAAGGCAAGACCCGTCGACTCTGTCTCTGATTGGCTTACCCTGAAATCTTACCCCGCGTTAACTAATCATCACTCCTCTCTGGTCACTTTCACTTTTCCATGGTACTGTTAGAGGACATCACTGTATCCGCCTGTAAGTTACATCCGCAGAGAGATTCGGTTCAGTTGGATCACATAATGTAACGCAGTAACGCACCCATTTAAATCACAGTAACTATAACGGCATTACTGAATGGGAATAGGTAACTAGTAACGTTATTAGTTACCGCAAAAGGTAGTTGCGTTACAGTAACGCGTTAGTTTGTAACGCGTTAGACCCAACACTGCTTATGAGTAGCAAGCTTATATTTATAATTCTTTCTTATTATGATTGTTCCCTTGATGTTTCATTTCTTATTAGGATGAGCCCACCACTGGCATGGACCCAAAAGCCAAAAGGTTTCTGTGGAACTGCATCGTCAGCGTCACCAAAGAGGGGAGGGCTGTAGTCCTCACCTCACACAGGTAGGAGCAGGTGTACACTAAATATTTTTGTATACTAAATACATGGCAGGCACAACTTCCTGTTCCTTTAATAGAGCACTGAAACATCTAAATGAATATTCTGCTGCTTCATCACATCCCTCCTAAGAATGTCCTCATAGTGTATGTATAACAAATGTTTACGGTGTTTTTATCTTGTACGGTCAGTATGGAGGAATGTGAGGCTCTCTGCACCAGAATGGCCATCATGGTGAACGGCAGATTCCAGTGTCTTGGATCTGTACAACACTTGAAGAACAGGTAAGCTTACTTATTTCTGTGTAACCTCCATAACACAAGTTAAACAATGAATGAATGTTGGAGATTTGGGTTGTTTTATGTCTCACATCTCCACTGCGCCTAACTAAATCCCTCGCCTGTATCAGTTTTCAAACGCAAAGCGTGCTCCCTGATGTTCCCATGGAGATGAAACAATCTCTTTACAAGCTAGCAAAATGTATATAGGTTATTAAAATATTGCACATTTCATAGACACAAGTCAAAAAGTTCTTAACTGTCAAGGAACTAAAAAGTAAATAAGAATCACATACAGAATCAAACGATAAACCAGATCAAATATACAAGGGGCAAACATGCATAGGACATAACTTAAAACTAAATATACAGTATATTTGCAATATAGATCTACTGTAAATACCATTCTGAGTTTAACTTTTTCTATATTGTGTGTTTTTATAATTAAATTCCATTAAGCTGTATTCATTAATTGTATTCATTAAATGTCGATATCTCCCAGGTTTGGTGATGGCTACACCATTGTTCTCCGTCTGATGGACAACATGTCGGAGCCGGCCTCGTGCCCCATCAGCAGCTTCATGCAGAGCTCTTTCCCCAGCATCGAGCTGAAGGAGCGCCACCAGAGCGTGCTGCAGTTCCAGCTGCCCTCACACGCCTGCTGCCTGGCTCGGGTCTTCGAGGTTCTGGCCAACAACCACGAGGAGCTGGGCATCATCGACTTCTCGGTTTCACAGACCACTCTGGACCAGGTGAGAGCAACTCAAAATCCTGCATCTTGTGATGTAATGGTGCTGAACCGTGATTTTCTGTGGATAGAACTAAACCAATCTTTACATCTTAAATATCCTTAATGGAGCCAGTGAGTCATTTGCTCAATGGATGCTATTTCCCATGAGGCTTTGCTCTCTGGCTGGTTTTACAGTAAGGCAGCATCAATTAAATGATGAACAAACTATTGTTAAATTGACAATCACATGTCGACAATAAAGAGTATTGATAATCGTACTATATAACTCTAATTCGTATCTGCATTACCTGTATTATCACGCACTCTCATTATTTGACATGAGTATGTGAAATATTACAATGGTACAACATGTAGATCATCTTTTTATTTCAAGTTACAGTGTACTTAATGAGGGGTTGCCAAGTTGTATCAAATGGAAAAAGAGAAGGTGTTCATTAAATCTTCCAGCCACATTTATTGATATTTGGTGCAGCAGTTCTGTTCCAATATGTGAAAAATGATTATTATTATAGTTTATTGTATTTTGTTACTATTTTTGCAATTTTTCAGGAAGAAATCTAGTTTCAACTCTTGAGCAGTTTGTTGGTTTTATTTTAAAAGTGGTCAGTTAAGAGATATTAGGAAAAAAAATGTGATGGCTAACTGACCATCATTACTGTCAGAGCAAACCAGGCTAATTTAAATCAATCAAACAATGACATTAAACCTGATTCATTTTTATAGGTGTTTGTCAACTTTGCCAAAGAGCAGAAGGATGACGACGTCCTCACTGATGTTATCATCAGCAACAGTACAGTACAGACCAAACTGACCACTTTGGTTAACAGGGTTAACCCTCCCACCATCCTTCCACTGCCGCCCATCACTCCCCCTCAGCCGAGCAAGAGCCCGCAGCAGCCCGCAAAATCATCTGGCAGCAAACCCAAGGAGGGGAAATCAAAAAATCCCAAACCTGGCATGGTGAAATCTAAAGAGGGCAAAGCTAATTGGGAAAAGAGCAGCAGCATGGCAATGACACAAATACCTCAGAAAGAGGAGAAGGCTCAGAGGACGAGCCGGAGGGCCAGCGGTGGATCAGACAGCAGTTCTGGTGGAGCTCAGGGAGAAACTAGTCAATCCAGTAAACGCAAAGCAGAGAGCTCCAGTCAAAATCCCTCTGCACTGTTCATAGTCGACGGCAACACACAGGACAGCGCACTGTGAATTGGACTGCTGTAACACAACAAGAAGTTTTGAACACTTGCTGTACGTTCATCCGAATGTTTTTCAGCGCAACAGCGCACAGGGTTAGAAGTGGAAGAGATGGACTATGAAAGTTACTGTAGGGGTAAATGTATCTCCTCTGAAAAAAGAAAGGTGAGTACCTCATAAAATGGCTTTGGTGCCTTGTTCACCTTGTTAACATATCTGTAGCTTTTATACCCTTTTTTGGGTTCATAAATATAACACTGTCTTCTCTTTCTGCATCAATGTCATCAATCCAAAGTTATAGAAAATATTATGCAAGGCTCAATGTAAAAACAAGGGGTGGCGTTCCTCAGGGCTCAATCATTAGACCTCCCACAATCTCATCTTTACTTTGCAAAAAACACTTTAAAAAAAAAGAGAATGCTGCAAATGCTCAAACAATGACTGAAGATCATGCGTTACATTAAATGATTATGAGGATTTTATGTATTAAAGCATTTAAGGGGTTGTTTCACAACAATATGCAGTATATCTGTATAGAATTGTTACTGCGGGTTCATTGTGAAATACCTCATACATATTAAATGATGAACTTGACAAGTTTTTTTTTTAATTAAACATTTATTTTGTCTTTTATCTGTCAAAAGATTTATTTTTATTTTTTGTGTGGGTAACAGCCACTGTTGAAACCGAGGGTATTGTTTATCACTAATTAGGGCATATTTGGCTTTTGTATTTTAACAGTATAAGTCACATTTGAAAGCAAACTCATAAACTTCCTGCACAGATCTTAAAGGTAGAGTAGGTCATTCACTTCAGAAAAACTTTTTGTTATATTCCATGGAATGCTCTTAACATCCCGATAGCAATGAATACATGAAATGCTTTGACAATAAATACATAAAAAAATGTCATCTGTGGAATCCGTAGTACTGTAAAAAGCACGACCAATCATCTGAGCCGGCCCGGCTAAAATAACTGGATGGCCTACCTGCCTGCATATTAGGAAGTCTGAAGGAAGGGGCAGATTTTTATTTGGCTGCGTACTTTCAAATTCTAGCGCACTCGAGCTGGTTTCTCCATTCTTACCTACCCTACCTTTTAATAGATCTGCAAATCCCAATTAATTATGACAAGACAATTAAATGTAACAAAGTGTTGTTAAATAATGCCAAATTGCAACAATCGAAATTAAATCATATTTCAAATCAAATAGATCTGAGATCTATAATACAAATAATTAAAAATAGGGTTCAGTCTGACCACCAATCACAACAGATTTACCTTCAGTCAAAGCTGTTTTTTTTAAGATTCTTTCCATAAACTGTATTTCCTCTTTTTTCTATCTTTCTATCATTCTGTCACAGCAGCTGACTGAATGTCCAAAGCAGGTTCTTACTGCACTGTTACATATTCAAAAGATTGTTACAAAAGTAACTATAGGCATGAAACAAATATATAACTGTACAAGATCAAATGTTTGAAAAGTTTAATGTATTGAGAAGGCTGAAATGATGCAGGAACATAAAGATGGATTAAAAAGGATGTCATTTCTGAATGAACGTCTGTACAACTGAATGTAATGTTAATGTATTATGCTTGAAACGTTATACTTGAACCTTAATGTATCTGTGCATCTACTATAAGAGCATTATATACTGGAGATATGCTAGTATAGGAAAGGAGAAACGGGTATCTGTCTGTTGTGAATGTTTTGTCCTGAAGAAAAATAAAACTATATGGTTTCCTGTATACTTTTTAAAACACGCTGTGCTGTATGTTGTGCGTCCAGTTTGTTGTTTTCGGTGAATCACTGCTGTGCGTTGGAAGTCGGGAGGTTTATCTTCGTCATTGTGAGGCTGAGCATCGGTGTTGATGCAGATACAAGTGGAGGAAGGATCATCTGTTTACACGACATCTCCCCACTGATGCTACTGCTTCACTGTTCAAAGACAAGAGAGAAACCAAATGTAATGGATGGTTTTCTACACACTGGATCTACCAATATTGCCCCGCTTATATTCCAGTAGTATTTAGACCATTATGGGGCTATAAAATGAGTGTTAGATACTCTTAAGGATACATAATAAATGAATAAGGTTTCGTATATAATTTAAGGTAATAATCCTATAGGTAAAAAACAAAAATATTACACTATGTTCACCTCTGTTATAGCTATTATATATGTGTACAGTCTTAAATTGATATTTAATTTAACTTTCAAATCAAATATGAACAATGCCGTAGCTTAAATGTAACCCACTACTGTATTCCCCTTTTGTATTATAGCTACAGTAAAATACAAGATTCTCAAAACCACCACGCGTACGTATGTATTGGCCAAGTTTCTGTCCTCTGTAGCGCTTTTTTCTCTCAAGTGCTGCTCTCTAACAGGCACCAGGAGATGATCTGCTGGCCCTTCATCACCTCCTCTCCTCTTCCTCTTCAGTTTCTGTGTGACCATCTGCAGCAGAGTGTCCAGGCTGGACAGGGAGATGTCAGGAAGACGAAACTCTGGAGATCTCTGCAGAGAGAGAGTAGAGTCAGTCAGACCTATAGGGTGAGGATGTTTTAACCCTAACCCTATCACAGACATTGTGACTTAATCATGTTCATTGCAGAAGTTCATGATGATCCCTTCTGTTTTCCAGTAAAGGTAAACGTTTTGGTTTTTCTGTTTTCATTTTCTTTACCTATCATTTATTTTTTGTGGCAGAAAATCCTACCTGATGTTTGTTAGCAATCATCTGAGCTAATCTATCTATTATATTATATATATTTTTTATATTATAGCATAACAATTTATCCACATAAAATACATTCATACCTTTTTTTCCACATAACATTTCATCTGTTTAAGCTGAATTGAGATTGACTCCTAATAATCTACAATTGCACCAAGCTATGCGTATATGTACAATCATAATTTACATGAATGATATTACCAGATCAGCAGCTCTTTGAATAGCCTCTAATGTTTCTCCCTCAGCCTTATTAGCAGAAGCGATTGACAGCTCTGAGATTAGTAGGTCATGGAAGGATGATATCCATTGCTTGATAAATAAAGTATGTGGGGGTTTCCATCGTATTACCTATCATTATTTTGGTCTACTTTTTTGTTGTTTGTTTTCCATTTTCAATGGGTAATGATGCCTTTTTGTATTTGTTTGTATCAAAACAAATCTTCATCTCCTGACCTGCTAACTATTTGGTGTTCCTATTGTATGTTTTATTTTCATTATTGTGTATTCAGCTGGTTTAGTAGGTATACTCACACTTTTAGAGACCATGGGGTTGTCCATCCAGAACCTGCAGTCTGCTTCTTGTCCTTTAACCAACCCGTTGCCTCTGCAGTCTTTTGTAGTGACGTTTGGAGAGATGCCTCTTGTTTTTTCAGATAATCTGATAGGAGGCAGAGGAGTATGGCATCTCTTCTGACACTCACAAAACTCAGCAGCAGATTTAGGTTGAGTTACAGGTGGCCGCACAGAGCCAGAATTGAATGATTGTTCAATATCAGTGTCCAAATGTAATCCCAGGAAAGAATCAAGTGTTTGTTCCACTGACTCATCTGTGCTACTGGTTTCTGTGTCTTCTTGATTTATGCAGCTGTTGTTCTCTTTCTTCTCTTCTTCGTCCACATTCTCCTTGGCTGCAGCCAGGACAGGCATCAGGTTGACACATAGCCTCATTTTATTCCCTGAAGTCTCACATGTAGTAGCCTTGGTTGAGATCGAATTTGAGGCGAAGACTTTAATCTTCTCCTTTGATTTCACGGTTCTCATCTGGGGAAGTGATATCTTCATTTTACCTACGATCATCGGAAAAGCGTCTGGTTCATGTTCTTCTAGTTTTATCTTCCTTGTCCTCTTCTCTCTCATCATTCCAACAGTTGTATAAAAACACCTTTGATAATCTTTAATGGTGTGGTTCAAACATCTCTTGCAAATGATTTTTAAATATAAAAAGAAATGTCCTTTGCTGTGTTTTGTTTCTCTCAGACGTAACAAACTGAACAGTTCTCCGTTTCTCTCTCGCAGCAGTGAAAAGAAAAGCACAGAATGTTGCAGGCCTATAAAACTGGCTGTTATGGTAACATGCACACAAACGTCACCCTTAATCTGTGATTTGGGAGTCAATGCTTTTTGTTTTCTTTTATTATATCAAAGGATGAAATATGTCTGAGCTAAACCCAGTCTTTGATGCTGTATTATAAAAATGATGGAGGTGGCAGAGGCAGTTTTACTTGTAAATTATGGAATTTTTTTGATGAGGCGTGTCAAAGATTGTCTATTGACAAGATGAATCACACAGAAGTTGATGAAAAACATTTGTCATGCACATTTCTACCTATATTTAAAAACACAATAACTACCACAGGAAACGTCATTGTGATGCTGTCAAAGCATGGCATGTCCAGGCATTAATCAGAATCAGAATTCTTCACGCACAATACATTTGCTTTGGTTAGTGGTGCATAGACAAAAACCAAGATATAGAGTCAAAAATAATGCAATACTATTTTTTACTTTTTAAATAAATACTATGTGTAGTTATTTATTTAATTAGATACAATGTTAATGTTGAAAATAATGAAAGAGATGAGAGAGGGCAACACATATCCTGAGGTGTGCTAAAGTTCAAAGTATTTAGAATACAAAACAGACAGAGATAAATAGGCCTTTGTGTATTTACGTGAAGATATTATTCAATGTAACAGGTATAAACCTATAAACAGGTGGAACAGATTGTCGTTTACCACCCACGACTATAATATTGTTAACAGTTATTTGTGTAACGCGATACAAATGTTCATAGGCTACATATTATTATTATTACAGAAATAACACATTAAAGTACATGGCAAAATAATGATTGAAGGAGGAAAACATGTTTACAAAATACAAATGTTTTTAAATGTGTTTAATATAATTGATATTGTTAAAGATATTGTATGTTTTGAAGCATTACAACATGTAACTATAGCGACAGAGTGAGAGCTCCTCATTTCCTCCGCTCTGTGTTTCAGCTCTATTTGTGTTCACTGTCAGGCTAGCAGCCGAGAAGCTATCTTCCCACAACAACCCCTGCCAAACTCACCTTTTAAACTTCTCTTTCCCTCGTTATTGCGTCTTTTTGTTTCTACACGGTCCGTAAGGATACAAAGCGTGTTTTTCTTTCCGTGTTTGTGCAGGAATAAAATGGTGGTTTTGACAAATAATGAAGAACAGGATTATATGTGAGTAAAAATAACGCTAGCATGCTAGTTAGCTTTAGCTTGGATGACAGTTAAATAGCCATTTTTACCACCTCTCGAGTGCCAGCTCTGTTGATAATCCTGCTCATTTGTTGACGTTACTTGGAGTTAAATCATCTGTATGTTAGCCGTTTAACAGCTGGCAGCTAACCAGCTAACTGGATTATCTTGTGTGTGGCTCTTTAAATTCATGGTTAAATCTTGCCTGGGTGTTTCTACTTGATCTGATAAATCCTTCACTTGGCACTTGCTACAACACACATTATTCGTATTATGTAGATATTTCCTCGCTAGCATGTACAGTTCAGAGGGAACATATTGCTTACATTTAAAATATGGTTTAAAACTGCATCAATGCTTCTGCCTGGTTACTTAGATTCACGATTGCTAAAGTTTGCATTTCAAGAGGAAATGATATGATATCTAGTGTTGGATAAACCCCACTAGACGGGCAGAGATTACATCAGATGATGTGGCTGTAGTGTTGCTAACAACCTGCAGGCTAAAAATGGCAACACCCACTGACCTACATCTGCAGCTCCTGCAGATTGCCATTACTTCTCAGATGCATTTAGAAAGACTGCAGAGATAAAACACAAGCAGCACATTACAATAAAGGAGATAATATACACCCTAGCTCTTAGCTAAGGGTGGTTTAAGTAAGTCATCTTTCACAACCACTCTTTTCTTGCCAATAATATTATGATGTAATGACATACTGCATGGCTGTACTGATGCAACGTTTCACCTTGTCATTCAGATCATTTGCAATAGACTAAGTGTGCTTTCTCCCGTGCTGTGCCTTTCACCATCACCCCTCCTTCATACCCGATATACTGTATGTTCCTCAAAACTGAAGGGTTACACTTTTTTCTGAATGCCTTTACTCTCCCTCGTGGTTAAAGACATTGGAGGAATGGTAAAATAGTCATGGCTTCAAACACTTACTGTTATCTATAAGATCTGAGGTGCTGTTACTTCCTCTTTAGAAGTTGTGTGACTAAATGAGCTATTGTGACATTTGTACTGTGTTTTCTCAGCCTGATAGAGGAGCGTCAATGCAGCTCCCTGCCCAACTCTCCAGCCAAGCGAGTGTCTCCCACCAAAAAGAAGCAGTTCTATATAAACCAAGCCATCCGCAACTCTGACCTCACTCCTCGAGCCAAAGGCAAGAAGAGCCTTCGCCGACTGGAGAACAGTAAGATCTTTTTATAGATGATATGATGTTGTTATCTGCTGCAGGATGAGCAATGCCGGACAATCCTTAAAGACTGAGTGCCTTAAACAGTGAAAAACAACATTTACATTGAATCGTCACCTCTTTTAAATCCTCAATCTGTCCTTAAGTGTTGCTCATATCACAACTGTCCACGTCTTTCTTTCCCTTCTTCTCTGAAAACCAGCTCGCTACCTTGCTAATCTTCTTGAGAAGGATGAGTGCACCAAAGATGATCTGGAAGTTTGCAGTAACCCAGCGATCCCATCCATCTTCACTGAAGCCTGCACCAACGGAAACTACATAGAGGTAAGTTGTCTTCAGCTGGGCTGAGAGTGTCTCTCAGGTCTCTCTTGGTTTTGGATTTCTTTAGTTTTTCCCAACACTAAAAACGGTACAGACTTGTTTTGGGGGAGGTTTTTCCTTTTCAACTCGTGACAAAAGCCAGAGACCAATAGCTTGTCTTGCACCAAACATCACATCTTAGTTGAATCTAAAAGCGCTCATTAAACAAATATATGTTAAAAATGTGCTTTTTATTCTCTTTCTCTTTTAGCCATGGAATGACTTCATGAATTGCTCAGGTGAGGAACAGGAGAAGCTGCTGTCTCTGCTGGAGCTGGAGGGGGCCAAGAAGAAAAGCACCAGCGGCCCGATCAAAGACCAGAGGAATGGTGAGCATCTTGGCCTGTGATTCTTTGTATGCCGGGCTGTTGAGTAAAGTGCGGCTGTTTGTATGACCCTCACTCATCTCTGCACAGTCAATCCTGCCTTCAGCGCTCAGGACTGCTTCCAGAGGATCGATCGCAGACTGCGAGCGACTCTCAAACGGAAACAAATCCCCATGGTGAGCTTCATCTTCTCCGTACCTACAGTGGCTTTAAACTTAAAGGTCCCCTATGATACAGTTTTTCATCAATATATTATAGGTCTCAGATATATACAAACATGTCTCTGAAGTGTTTCCTGAGACTTTCAGAATCTCTTTACACAGAGGGTACACATGTTTATGTATAAAAGACATGAAAAAGTGGATTTTAAGTCAAAGTCTCAACTTGTGATCAGTTGTCTGTCCGTACGGTGATCAAATACCTGGTGGACTAGTCCTTCCTGCATCTCTGCTGTGCATCAAACCCAGAGGCTTCACTAGCTTGTTGTCTCGCAGTCACCATCACACAAATATTTGTTTCCTTTTCCTAGTTGACGTGAAAACAGTGACGTGCTGTCACAGATTTTTTCAAATGACAAACATGTTTAACCACAACCATGACTCAGCAAGAAAGCCCGCAGGTTCAGTATTTGGCTCAAGCATAAACCAGGCTTGAGGACTCATGTTGGGATGTAGGTTGATCCTCCTGGCTGCCACTCAATGTGATGTTTCTCTCCTCACAGGGAACTCTGGAAATACTTGAGGAAAACGTCCTGAGCTTCTTCATCGCTCAGCCCAACTCTGTTTACACAACCAACCTAGCCAGCAGGTAGAGATCCTTTTCCTATATTCAGTGTAGGGCTGCTCAATTAATCGTATTTTAATCGCAATTACGATTTTGGCTTGCAACGATTA